AAGAAAGAACTGAACTTTTCCAACTGTGCTTTCAAGTTCTTTTTTTCTGTTAAGGCATGAAGGAAAAAGTGATTAAAGGAGAGTAAGTAAATTGCATCTGCTTTAACAGCTTAGCCACAGATCCTTGTTGCTTTTTCCCTGTAGAACAGAAGTGGGCATACCTTTGGGGATACAAATTTGAAATTATCTTCATTTATAATATTGGCAAGAGGGTATCCATCATAGCTCTCATAGGGAATTCCAGAAACAAAGGCTGTTGGCCCATTTGGGTTCTTGATTTAATTTGATGAATCGCTGTTGTTAACTTGGATATCTGAATAGGTTAAAGTAGTAATTTAGGTTAAATAATTGCACATAAGGATCATGTGGAAATATGGATCTTCTGTAACTTTGTTACAGTTCAAAGAGGTGACGCTAGAATTAAGTTAATGATAAAGAAGAAACTGTCAGTGGGATTTGAAAGAGGGAAAACATGTCAGTTGTTGCTTTCGAGGTTAAGATGAGTTTTAATTTGACTGTGTGGATATGAGCAGCTGTGTTGGAAGACAGCTCTGTGCCTTTTGAAGATGAAGGCCATCAGAGACCTTCAGCAAGTTATGTATTAATTAGAGGGAAAATACAGCTAGAAGAAGAAAAGGGGTGCATTGTTGATAAACAAGACGTTCATTTAAAATTCAGCATGTTTCTCTTCTTTCTTATTCTAAAATACATCTCTCAAATTACACTGGCATTTAGGTCTTAGCCTTTGGATTTCTTTTGTCATATGATGTAATATTAAGATTTGGCTTTTTTTAATTAACACTTTAAAACACAGAAAAAAATTAAATGCAACATGCTTACAAGTCTAGATGTTTAGAATTGAAAGGTAAAATTCTAAATATTTAAGATTCAAACTCCAAAATTAATAGTCCAGCTTTTAAAAGTAATTTTATGATCTTCATAAGGGAGAGCTCTAACCTCTGCTGGTTGAACAAATACACTTTGGGAGCCATTAGGGAGTGTGGCAAAAAGCAGGCATCCCTGTGTACCATTTAAGCTTGGAGCACAGATCAAGAGGCAGCGAACCAGGAACTATACTGGCAGGTCAGACAGGCCTGTGCAACTCGTTGCCATCTGTCATGGAAGGGCATTAGTAACTACAGCCAAGAGGTAAGCAGGAAGTCATCTTGGAAGGATATAGATTCACTCCATGGAGTTCTCAAGAAGGGGAAGGACATTTGTCAGCTCCAGGTGGGGCTGCTGCCCCCCCCATGTGCTGAGATAGTTAACATACGTGAGTTCCAGGGTATGGGAAGGCCTCCACAGGTGGTAGGAAAGTCTGGTCTGTGGAGCTCACATCTGAAAGGACTGTCCTATGATGAGGAGCAAAACAGAGGCAGTGCTGCCTTTCACTATTTGAGATGAACTGGCTGAGAACTCCAGTCTAATGTCAAGTGTCTGGAAAATGCTGGGTCTTTGCCATGTGCTGGGCAAGGTGCTTGAAGCTTTATATGTCTTGTCTCATTTATCCCTAGGAACTAGGGGTTGTAAGTACCCTCTCCTCCATTCTATAAGTAGAGAAGTTGAAGCTCAAGGAAGTTCAAAGAAAAAAAAAAATGAGAGAAAGGAAAGAGACACTCATGTAATGTCACACAACTAGGAGAGCCAGTGTGTGAGCCAAGGTATTTGACTCCAAAACCAGCCTTTTAACCCCACTAGATTATACTCTACAGAAGTGTGTTTTATCCCATTATTTCATTTTAAACAGGAAAATAAAGACCATTGTAAGAAAATAGGCAAGCAAGAATAATCCACAAACAAGATGCCTACGGAAGTAAAGTTTACAGTAAGGTTAGGAGGTCAGGAGGAAGCAAAAGCAAACGGTGGCAAATGCAGTGCAAGAAAGAGCAGATTCTGAACCTCCGAGAGATACTGTAAGCGTTTCTTCAATACTCTAAGTAGCCTGAAGATGCACGGGGCGGAGTGAGCTCTCTAACGAGAGCCAGAGCAGTAGTGGATTCGGTGAACATCGGCTTGACTTGGCAAACTGACTATGAAACTCTAAAATCTTTATTTTGGAATCAGAGAATCCAGGACAGTTGTATGCAAATTGGAGGTGATTGTGATCTGAACACCTCTGAAGAATCAGATGGGACTTGACAGGAATTCAGATTGTCGGCTAACTTAAAACCTTTAGCCCTACGATATTAACAGGGTAAAATGCTTCAGAGAAAGCCTGTGCCACTCACAGAATACTCTATCCAGTGAAGAAGGAAAGGAGAGAGACTGAGCTGGGACAGGTTGCTTCAGCCAAGAGACCTTTTCCTTCCACGAAGTTCTCCATCCCTGGAAGGGAGCACCCAGGGCCCCTTTCTGACCTGTGCTCACGTTCGTCCCCAGCTACGTTCCTATCAGCTTGCACAGTACGCCAGAGAACAAAACACTTCAGAGCCGTCCCCAGGTGCATCATTACAGGAAAGACAGAAAGGATCCCTGGCCCACATTTGACAAAAATTAGGATGAGTAACATGGGAGAGGCCCCAAAGCTCTGTATGCACTTTAGCTATTCACGCAGTGTCCTCACTGCTTTTAATGAAAACAGACCTTGTTGTTGTCATAGCAACACCAGCAACCGAAGATGTTGGACTGTCCTAGGGTGCACCCTCTCCCACCCCACCCTAACACCGAGCTATTGCAGGCTTCTTAGAAGCTTGTAAGTGGCAGCAAAAACATTTTCAGTTAGCAGGCACTCTTTTCTGCCACTTCATCTCAATATTTTTCTTACTTTCACCTCCTTCGTCCCAAAGCCATGTTGATGAGAAATAAACGGCCACACACGCCTTACGACATGGGCAGAAAATTTAGCGCAGGGATTAAGAGCTTGGGCTCTGCCTCTAAAGTGTCTGGTTTCAAATCCTGACACTTGCCTACCTGTGTGTGACTTTTCACTCATCTATAAAATAATGATGTCAGCGGTACCTACTTCCTGGGGTTACTGAGAAGATTAAGTGAGCGCCTGCCTGGGGAGCGCTTAGCACAGGGCCTGCTACATAGTAAGTGGGCAATACATGTTTACTGCTATTAATATTCTTATGTTGTTACAGAAGAGGTTTCATTTTTATATTGAGTTTGGCAAATGTTAGATCCTGGCCACTTGAAGCTGAAGGACGACCTGTAGTTAATGATTATCCCGCAGAGATGGTTATCAGCTCAGCTTTCTGAAGGGCTGGCGTCTCTTTTTAAAGGAGGGCTGCACTTTGGTGGTGTCACTTCTATATTTTGATTGGGAAATGGGTCCGGGAGTTGGGCTTTTTGAGTCGTGTTATTATGTGAATCCTTTCTTTTTCATTATACTCAGATCTGAGGATTTTCTCATATTGAGATATGCCTGTGATGGGAAAATTGTCACTTGAGGAGGAAAGTGCTTGTATGAGGCAGGTCTGGGGGGGTGGGGCAGGGATGGAAGGGTCGAGCCTGGCACACCTCCACTGTACCCCGTGTGCTTTCTCCTACCCCCTCCACCCTCCTGTCTCAGAGATACCAGGGACACTGGCGAGAGCCACGGACCCCAGCCCCCTCGTGAATTCTTACTGTCAGGGCAAGTCTAATCACTGCCTGCCTCTGGTTGGCCAGGCGGGTTTGCTTTCCTTGTTTCAGATGTGAGTTCCATAGTGACGCAACATCCTTGCTTTTAGGAGGGTTTTTCTGACTCAGTTAGACTCATATTTGAGGTACCAAATATCAGTAGAAACAGTACCAAAGAGGGAAAGTCCTATTCCTAACGTAGCTCTATAAATTGTCTTCTCCAAGAAATAGCTGCGCGGAGGGGAGCAAATCTTCCAAGACCAGGCCTTTGGGTTTCTTTGCACAGCTTTCCAGAACATACCAAGCAGAGGTGGGGGGCAGTTAATCTCAACTCATGCCTTTTCTCCCTGCTCCCATCTCACTCTCAGGGTTCTCCAGCCTCTATTACAAAGTCTACTTTCTTATACCTTCCCCAGCAGCCAACCACTAACCTTACCTCAGTGACCTTCCATATGGTAAGGCTCAAAACGTGCAACTGACATGAGTCAAGTATCCACAAACTGAGTATTTGTTTACAAATAATAAATTCTAGCTCATTCCCGCAACAAATATTTATGCCTTCTCTGTACCTGTGTAAAACATCGGGCACATACAGTGGTGAGAAAATAAACCCTCTGAGGGCAGAGGTCATAACTAAAGGTAGTGAGGGAGATTAACGTGATGATGAAACCAACAAATACAGAATTGTACATTTTATTCATGAAGAAAAAAAACAAGAATGATACTGTGAGAGAAAATAACAAGGTCACCAACTCTGGAGTGAAAGATCAGGGAAGGCTTCTTTGAGGAGGTGATATTTAAGCCAGGACTGAAGGAGGAAAAAAAGTCAACCAAGTAAAATTGGGGATCAGAGCATTTGGGGCAGAGGAAGCAGCAAGGATAAGGACCCTGAGGCAGTGACATGTACCATGTTCTATGAGTGACAGTGGGTAGTGAGTGATGGGAAGGAAGGCAGGGACAAAATCCCGAGGCCCTGGGAGCTGTGATTTCATTCTCTGTGGACCCTGAAGCCAAAAGGATAGTGACAATCCCAATTGTATTCTTCAAAGATCTCTCTGGCCACTGGGTGCCAAGTGGATTTGAAGAGGGAGAGAATGAAGGCAGGAAACCCAGAGGAGAGGCCATTGCAGGAGTCCAGACCAGCAGAGGTGGTGACTGGGGCCGGGATTGTGGCCATGGAGACGGAATGTGCTTGAACATGTCCCCTTGTACGGGACAAGGAGAAAAAGAAAAGCCCCGAAATGCATTTTCAAGGCTGATTGTACAACTAGTTCTCCTTTGCCTTTCTTTCTATGTTCTATTTTCCCATATTCAGAAAAGTTACACCTCTTTCTCATTTTAACCAGCTTAAGTCTTTAGGAAAGTGTAGGGACTTAGGCCAGTCTTGATTCTGAAGCCATGGTCTGAAATCTTACAAGTCACTCTTTATTTTACAGCCTACCAGGACTTCTTCCGAGAGCATTTATTCTAGACCAGGCTCCAGTATCCCTGGGTCCCCAGGTCATACTATCTATGTAAGTATCTACTTCTGGAAGAGACACTTCCGGACCAGGGGTGGTAGCAGCTGGTAAGCATGGACTGGATAATCCAAAAGTGAATAATTCAAAATGATTTTTATGTCTGTTATGAGATCCAGTTTTCATTCTTGTAGATCAGCCACCTCAATCCCATTTTCCTCCACGTGATCAAGTGTTCATGTGAATGGGACCATCGGTACAGAGTGAACGAGTAGATGACCTGTAAAGTGCAGTGATACGATGCAGGACTTAAAAAATTGTTGTACCTAACTTGCATATAGATATTTGGGGATTGATTATACATTTTACAATGCTGATACTGAGTGTCTTTAAATTCTGCCACAGAGGTCTTTAAATATTTAGTTTATTAAATATTCAGTTCTTGTTTTAGCCATCTGGGAGGATTTTTTTGGCCATCTGTTTGAGCTTTTCCTTCTCTGTAATAAATTTAGGAAATTATCCTGAAGGTTTACAGGCTTCTCTACTTGATGAATTCTACATAGACTTCTTCCTAAGCTTTTGGTGACTTTTTTGAAAATCTGATTAATATTGGTATAAATTGGTATAAATCAAAGTATAGTTGATTTACAGTGTTGTGTTCATTTCTACTGTACAGTAAAGTAATTCAGTTATACATATATATACATTCTTTTTCATATTCTTTGCCATTATGGTTTATCACAGGATATTGAATATAGTTTCCTGTGCTGTACAGTAGGACCTTGTTGTTTATTCTTTCTATGTATAACAGTTTGCATCTGCTAATCCCAAACTCCCAATTCTTCCCGCCCCCAACTGCCCTCCTCCTAGGCAACCACAGGTGTGTTCTCTGTGTCTGCGAGTATTAAACAGGCAACTTTATAAAGAGTATGACCGTGTTAAGCAAAGTGTTTTGGGTTTTGTTTATTTTTAAGGTTTTCACTTTTTAAAAAAGACATGAGATGTGCTAACCATAGTTCCCCAAAGAGGAGACGGCAAAGTAATTTTTTCTTTCTGTTTAACTTTGGCAGGCAAAAGTGGACAATGAAATCCTGGATTACAAGGATTTAGCAGCCATTCCCAAGGTCAAGGCAATTTATGACATTGAACGTCCAGATCTTATTACCTATGAGCCTTTCTACTCTTCGGGCTATGATGACAAACAGGAGAGGCAGAGCCTGGGAGAGGTAATACATTCCCAGAAGTTGTGAGTGGTACAACTTATTTCTCTTTGGCACATGTATAAAAACTACTGACTGGAATCAGAATAAATCAGAGGGTCCTTTTGGTTGCCCACTGTTTGCAGGCTTCTGTACCAGGTGATTTGAGGTAGTCAAAAACCTATCACACCTTCCCTGCCCTTGGAGAGGTGTGGAGAGGTAGGGAAGCAGACCACCCACAGAAAACGGCCGTGCAGGATGAGTAAGCATCAGTACCAGGTTGTAGGATAGCAGAGCCGGCATGCTGGGAAGGAAGCCGAAGTTGTCAGGGGAGACTCTGTGAGCTGGGCAGAGGGAATAAGGGAGGGAGAGTCCTCGGTGCAGGGGGGGGATGGGGTGGGGAATGGGGTCTTGGTTTGGGGGCAAGCTGAAGTACATTCATGGGGATCATGAGAGAGATCACAGCCCCTAAATTTTGACAGCTGCAGTTTTTAGCATCATAAGATACAATATGCAAGAAAAGACAAAGTAGAGAGAATTGGGCCACGGTATAGGACCGTGGTATGAGCTAGGCTTCTGGAATCAAGTTACCTGGGCTTAACCCAGGAAGTCCACATGCTGGTTGTGTGACTTTGACCATGAGACAACCATTCTGATCCTAGTTTTTTTTGTCTGTAAAACAGATAATGACAGAATCTGCCTCATGGGGCGTTAGTGAGGATAAAACAAGCTGTCTATTAAAGATTAATTATCTATATATCTAGATAATTTATCATCTATTAAAGCTAGTCTACATTAACTAATTATTAAAGCAATTAGCAGAGAGCCAGACTCGTGGTAAATGTTCAGAAAATGGCAGCTACCACTGTTGTCTCTACCTGTCTTCTTGGGGCTTATTAATACTCTCCCAACATTAATGGTCCACAGGCTGGAGCTCAGCCTCAGCCCCTGGTGACCTTCCCCTCCCTGTCCCCTAGGTCTCATGGGCTCTGGTCTGTTTCCCCTGGCCTATTTAACTCACTCTAAATTTTTCCCCTTTTGTTTTTTAAATTGGAATCATCTACAGACTGATTTGAGTCCACTCAGAGAGGTGTTTCCCAAGTAGTGGACCAAAATCAGTCACTCAACCAAGGCTAAAACCAATAATCTGTAACATCACAGTGCTTTAAGATCTTAGATGAAGAAAGTTCGTGAAAACGTGGCAATTCTGTTTATTCTCAATAATGTATGTATAATATTTATTGTTTTATAATCATGTCTGTATTTTTAATTACACACACACACACACACACACACACACACACTCTTCTGGAGCATAGCTCTGCATTGAAATGGTCCTTTGGGCAGGAAGTGGTGTCTGTTTTCATGTAGTGCCACCTAGTGGTCATGCCCCTGTAACTGCATCTGCAGCCCCTCTCAAGAGCAGGCTGATTGGTCTGGGGGGTTCAATTGCATTTGGGTGGCAGAGCTTCAGAGAGGATAAGGGGCAAAGGAAGGTTCCTGAGCAGAGTGCATAGGGGCTGGTCCTTGAGCAAGTGTATGAGAATTTCCTAGGGTTCGAGTCACACAAGCAAGGGGAGGTGAGTTGCTTTTTGGTGTTCTGGGCCCAAAAGTTTGAGCTTTGAAGTGAAAGTTTCTGGGTTTGGAACCAGACTGATTTTTCCTCTCCCTATGACTTTGGAAAAATTACATATTTCAGTCTCCTTATCTGTAAATTCAAGATAATGGTAATACCTACCTTAGAGGTTTTTTGTAAGGATTAAATGAAATATTTAGATTACAACAGTACCTGGCACGTAATAAGTACTCAGCAAGAATGCTGGCTGCCATCATAATCAGCACTGTTACCATCATAGCCTAGAATGAGGCCTGTGGGTTTCTCTGAGCATAACGTGTGGATGCAAGGAGGCCCTCTGGTCAGCCGTATTCATGAGCTCTTCCCCAATGCATGGATCTTGCAACTTAGACAAGTTTGCAAGCTATTTAGTTATTTATTCCTTTAATTATTAACACTTCTTCCAGAGAATCCATCTACTGCCATTTTAGAAACCTGGAGGAGTAAGCTTGAAGTTCTGTGTAGCCATCTGTGCCTCCAGAAAGCCGATCAAACCAGACCATGGGGCTCAAGGAAGTCTGGAGTGCAAGAGAGCCAGCAGCTTCTTGTAAATTTGGAAAAAAAGGGCAAATTCCGAAACAGAAATCCACCACTGGCCCTGTTCTTCAGAATGCTTTGTTTGAATTTCATTTCTGTTTGAGAGCTTTTTGCATTTTAATCATAAACATTTCGGTCATTCATTTAGGAAATATTTGTTGAGCACCTAATATGTACCAAGAGCTGCTCCAGTCGCTGGGAATACTTGGTTGTAAATGAATGGAGTCCTTGCCCTCATGGAGCTTGCAGTGTAATGTGGGAGACATAATAAACAGACAGATACATAACATAATTTTAGAGGGTGATGGAGCTGTGAGGGAAAATGAAGCTGAGTAAGGAGAAAGCATGCTGGGGCCGGGTTGCTACTCTAAGCAGGAGGCTCACGGAAGTTACTGTGTGGTAGTGCATTTGAGTAGAGACCTCACTGAGGATGGGGAGTGAGCCCTGCAGGTGTCTGAGTGGAAAGCACTGCTGGCAGCAGGTGCAGCAAGTGCAAAGGCCCTGAGGTGAGAGAGGGGTTGGTCTGCTGACTGCCCCGAGGAAGCCTGTGTGCCTGGAAAGATGAAAGCCAGAAGGTGAATGGTGTTGAGGTTGGCAAGGCCACTGGGGAGGATGCCACGGACCTGGTCATCATAACATATCAGGTGATTACTATGGTTATAATTTAGTCCACAACTGTGTTTACCAAACTGTGTGTTTCAGTAGACACTGTAACTCATAGTAGTAAACAGCCTAGTTTGAGCATATAGGGGAAGTAGTTCCAATTTCTCTAAGTTAATCACCTAAAGCATCACAACATATTTCCAAAACCCATGCGTCTTAAGCAGAGACATGTGCCCTAGTCTCGGGGGAGCTTTGTCCTTGTGTACCTGTCTGAGCCCCGCTCTCAACTTACTGAATCAGAAGACGGGGAATGGGCAGAGGTGCTGGCATGTGCAGCTCGAATAATGTTTCCAGGGGATTCTGATAAGCAACTCTAATTAAAACTGAAAATGAGCTAACAATAAACGTTGTGACTTTAATTCTCTTTTATTCTTCTAGTCTCCAAGGACTTTGTCTCCTACTCCATCAGCAGAAGTAAGTACCGTTTTTGGAAGTTGTAATGGGTGGAGTTGTTTTTGGAAGTTGTAATGGGTGGAGTTGGGGAGTTACTTGGACCATATTCCTAGACTCACATTTTTGCAAAAGGACAGAAAACCCGTGTACAAGATTATGATGAATGTAGGATTCCTTACGTGTAAGATATGACTGTAAGACCCAGAAGTAAATTTCTTTCTAAATGGAGACTAGGGAATACAACCAGCCTTACCCTGCACTCTGAGTGGTAGGAAAGAGAGTGGAGAATGGGGACCACTTGTCCCGATGTTGGTCTCTCTCCTCTCATCTGTAATTGATCGATCTGAATCCTAACCTACTGATTATCTGAAATGGCCAGCAGTGGTCATGGTGTTTCTATCAGCAGAGCCATCATCATGGGAGGCCACTTCTCTTAGTCTAAAATCAAGAGTCTTGTCCCCCCTCTCAGGGTAGACGGACCTTATAGTGGCTTTTATCAAGTCCACCAGGCTGGCCGTTCCCTCGGGAATAACCTCCTGCGTATCTGGATCACGTAGAGCTGTCAGTGATGGTTCCATAGTGAGCCACGGGTCCCCTATCAACCCAAACATGCTCTTCCCCTCTGCAGCGCCCAGCACCAAAGACAGAGCCCCCAAATTAGTGACGCTCCCAAAACCCATTTTATTAAACGTTCTTCGGGAAGCTGATGATACTGTTCTATAAAATGAAACAGCCCCTTCACACTATACCCCTGATCCCAGGAGTGTCTTGGTCTTGCTGTCACCCACAGTGACAGAGGTGCTTGGTGACCAGAGGTCTTAGAGACACTTTCTGTTGTCCCAGCATAATTTTTCCCTTGGAGGGTGGCCTAAGCTCAGACCACCTCAAATCTGAGCATGGTCCAGGTCTAACCCAGCACTTTCATTTAAGCTATTACAGGTAGTAATAATCAAGGGATTGTTTGTTCAGTGTGCTTCTTATTATTTTGTATTTCCTTATGTATCCAGTGAGCAAACTCCTCAGGGGTTAGGTCTACCCCCTTCTAAAAATAATAATAATAATTAATAAATAAAATCAGTTGTCTTGTCTTAAAGCTAAGTAACTGTCTGGATAGTCTATATAAAACTGGCCTGATCTTAGGTAATCACTATAATCTCTGTAGTATTGTGGTTTATGACCGAGTGCTATGAATAACTAATTTCTATGAATATTCTGATCGTTTTCAACTGAAGTTATGAAGAATTAATTTCTATTATTGACGACTTGTCAATAATAGAAATAGTAATAATAGGTTGAGGCACATTATTGGGGGAATTTTGTTTTGTTGCTGTTTTAATTTATTGTTACAGCCACAACTAGGATAAAATCAAAGTTTTTTTGCCTCTTGCTCTCAAATTGCGCACGTCCATAGTTTTTGAGGTTTTAATTTAGTCCTTTTTCATGCATTCTTTCAAACTTTTATTTTTCTTGTGCTAGTAGAAACTTCATAGGGCCACAAATTCCTAAAATGTAAAACGTTCCTTGTACTCTTCTAATTCTTTTAAAGTTTTATGTTATGTTTGTGTGTGTATGATTTTTTTTATACTTTATACCTACAATATTCTTTTCTAGACTTGGACATGGTGACAGACTGGTGGTGCTATTGTATTCCATTAAATTGATATGCCATAACCTAATTATTCCCCGGTTTTGTTGAGCACATAATACAAAGTTTTGTCTTTATAAATGGTGGCATTATAAATGTCTGAGGAAATTTTTCCACTTAAAGATCGTTGAAAAAATTTTTTTTTCTTTTTGGAATTTGCTTCCTAAAGTAGAAGTAGAATTACTGGAGTTGAGGCCACCACAGGCTTGTTCTCCAGGAAAATCGACGTAAAACATCACCAGATCAACAGCATGGATGGTGTGGGTTAGTGGTTGGATCCAGGGATGAGATGAGAGCCAGGAGGCTGGTTCTGAAGCAGGCTCCACCTGCACACACCTGCACACGGGTCTCTTACCTGCGTGGAACCTTCTGAAACACTCTGCATTTGTGAAGAAGGGAGGTGATACCATGTGTTCTACCTTCTTTATGATGCGGATCTGATGATACAACCTATGTGAACAGACTTCGTTAAACTGAAAAGCACAATATAAGCGTGGTCATTGGAATTATTCCCTCTTTTCCCAGAGCTCTATCAACACTGGAGTTTATCCTTTTTACATCTTAAAATCTTGGTAAAGGCAAGCACTACAGGTTTTGAACAAAAAGCACTAACCATGGAATGCTTGTTTGCATACCTACTTAAGGAATATGGCCCTAAAGTGTATACATGAACAGGTAGACGGGATAGTTCCTGGGTGACTTTGGTGCAACTTGATTTCACTTGAACCTGACAACAGCCTGCATGTATGCCTTGTGCTCCCACTTTCTCGCACTTGCTTCCAGGGGTACCAGGATGGGCGGGACCGGATGATCCACCGGTCCACCAGCCAGGGCTCCATCAACTCCCCTGTGTACAGCCGTCACAGCTACACTCCAACCACGTCTCGCTCTCCCCAGCATTTTCACAGACCTGGTAAGGGCACCTGTTCCCGGGATTCACTCTCTATAGAGTCATCCGTGTTTCTATGTGATTGTTTTCCCCACCGCTGATAGCGTATTTAAAAATCTGGCTGCCAAATCTATCTGCCCCTCTCCCAGAAAAACTTGCAAACTCCTATTCCATTGTAGTTTGTGTTATTTCTTTTCTCAAAACAAGAGTCATTTTATGGTTGTATTCATTATGACTTACTAAATAATTATATGTTGACAGTGAACACCTAGAAGCAAAGGAGGTTTTTTGGGTTTTTCAGACTTGAAGAAAATCTCAGCACTTTGAGACTTAAAATGGAGATCTCCAAAAGAAAATACGGTGATGTGCCTTTTAGGCTTATCTAAAATCTAAATCCAGTCATTTACTCGTGAGTTTATTATGTTTCCCCCATCCGGGCACATGGTATTACTAAGCATGCTTGGTTAAGAACCTGCTAGGAAGAAGTCTCATATACCACCTCGGGGTTGTATTTGGTAACTTTTAAGATGCCTTCCAACCTAAGATTTTGAATCAGACTTGGAAAATATAAAAACACTAGAGGTGTGCTATGATGGGGAATATTAAGAGTAGTGGACCTCATTTACCTTTATCTCGGCAGAACGTAGTCCCTTTTACTGTTAGTGGGTATCTCCTATGTAGAGTAGAAAAAGCATGGAGATCCCAGCACAGACCGAGGATTCCTGAGAAACAGATTCACCAAGGAAGATTTTGTCCTTCTAAACAAACTTGGTGTTGATATATGTCTATGAAGACTTCATTTTAAGCCTCTTGCTTCTGTGCAGGCTGATGAGAATAAGCCCATTCATATGCTAACGTGTCTTATAAAATATAAACCAAAGGACATGAACAGAATGTAAAAAGGCTGCAATCTTCTCTTTAAAGCCATAGATTTAATGCTTATAGAGGATTAAATTTTTACTTTTTGATCCTTCAATAAAGTATAGTTTTCTCTAGACTCAAATATTTACTCAGTATCTGTTGAGTTACGTTAAAGGAAAATTTTTCAGGAAAGAAATTCCTTTTATTTTTCATGTACGATGATATTCATTTTACTTCTGGGTTTGGATTTATGCCATTTTCTGTCTGGGTGATGAGAAATCCTTTATGCCACCACCCCTACGTATGGGTATACCCTGATACTGCAGCCGTACCCTTATCAGAATGATGCGAAGTTCACTGGGAAATTGTTGTTCGAGAGAATCCCTGGATAGCAAGGGAGTGGTCAGCCAGGGACATGGTTTCCCTAAAAGGTCATGTCCTCATTGGGCAGTAGAAAGTTTTCCTCTGTTCTAGTCATGGTTCTGATGCCAAGAGCCTGTAGAACATTCCCCATTCTAAGCACTTCTCCTCCCCCTTCACAATACGTTATGGACATGCGTGATGTCAGTTGTTAGGGCTCATAATTATTTTTCGAGATGGGGCTCTGCTAGCATAGTCATGGTCAGCACAGAGCACCTCAGAGTATCCACTCCACACGTTCTAGATACCAGAGGATGACGCACGTCCTTAGGTCTGGGCTTAGGTTAACGGTCCATAACTGAGTTTCCAGCTCCCCTGGTGTTACCACTACCCAATTCTCAAGATCACAGGTAGCTCTTTGCTACCCAGGGGATGCAGACAGGTTTCCCTTCTACATAGGAGAAGTAAAATTAAACTTGCAGTAGGAGACATTTGCAGCTTAAAAAACAAAGAATCTGACCCTTACGTATAAGTATTTCTTTGCAAGGTTCTTGAAATGATTGTCGGTTTTGTACATGTGTTTCAGAGGGTTCTGTTTTGTCAGGTGCCTTTTAAAAACAGCTATGGTGGAGTCTAAGTGACGTGCCCAGTCCTGGCTCAGTGGTAGCTGGTGTCATCCTGACAGAACCTTCTGGTGGCCGTTCCCTCCCACTAAAACCATTTATCCTCGGAGAGTGAACTCTGTACTGACCTGAACCTGTTTGCAGACTCTCCCCACTTTGTGTAACCCTTCGTAGGTGCCTTCTTAACCCCTTTTCCTTCCTCCTTTTTCAGACTCTTGATTAACATTCTTTATTTCTTTTTCTCCCTTGGAACGATGGCGTTGTCCCTGCTCGTGTGTTAATTTGTGCTCTTCTTTTCTGTTTGCACCGTGTCCTGCCCCTGATCCTTGCTGCACAGAGCTGCTGTCTCCTGGTGTGCAGAGGTCCTTCCTGCACACCGGCAGCCTCAGCTCCGGCCACAGCGACTCCCGCCCCAACTCCCCTTTCCGACACCACTTCCTTCCCCATATCAAAGGTAAGGAGGCAGGCTTCTCCAGGCAGCACCCTGCATAGCAGAGATTTATTAGTACCCGGGGAAGGCTAATAAGGTGCATCTCCAAGAGTCAGCTCCGAGCTTTGGACTTCTCAGCATGCCTGCGTGTGTCATGGCTACACCCAGCCGTGTCTTAGAACTGGCATAGCATCTCTCGTTAGGAGAAATATGTCATTTCTAAAGGGCTCTAGATGAAGAAACAGGAAATATGTTTGAGACCCTGAGATTTGTTAGCTACTGCTTAAGAAAAATATATATTATTATTTTGTTTTTCTCTGGTCAAAAGCAAAATATAATATATATCTGGGGAATCTTCCTGGTTTTCATATATGTTATGGCTCAGCAAAACACAACAGTATTCAGCAACAGGGGTTCCAAAGTTGTCTTAATGGTGATAAGCCACTTAACCACGTAACAATATTAAAATGTTTGGACGGGATGAAAGATCTATGGCAACGTAACTTAAATTTATCTCCTTGAGACAACCCTTAGAGTAATCTTCCTTTGACCTGTCCTGATGTCTGCATGATGGAGAACAGGGACTTTGCCTTCTGTTGTCTGTTCCTGCCCATTTCTGCCCTTCCCTCTATGCCGTTCCCATTGTTCTCATTGTCTGTTATGTTTCCGTGGCCATTCTCAATCGAGCCAAGAGCCCCAAATTTAAAATAAGTAGGAGCTTTTTCCGTAGTCTTGATTTGAACCAAATTAACCAAAGAGAATACCTTAAGGAGGGAGTAGCAGGCAAGCACAGATGTTGTCATGGGTCTTAAGACAGACCGAAGGGATTCTAACCCCGAGTTCCAAGAGCTCACATCACTAACCCTTTCTCAAGCAGCCTAAGTGTTGTGCTCTTTGACTGAATTTCCTTTGCAGTCATTTTACAAGCATGCGATTTTAGCATTTTCTGTGCTGTAAAAATAACATTGCTGACAAGCTTATTTGAAGACACATACCGTTTGCCACTAGCAAAGAAATTTTTCAGCAGGTGCAGCACTTTCTAAAATTCTTGACAGGTTATTTAAAATTATTACTGCTAATTAGTATTTGGGGGAGGAAAGACCTTTATTATTTAGATGTCAAGATGATACTTTAGAGAATGTCTATAAAACCATAAGAAATTATTGAAAAAAACTTCAGAGATGTATTTTAAAGAGACTTTAATATAGAAGCCCTTGGCCAAATTAAGATTTTTGTTTCTTTGTTTCTAATATACAAGGGAAAATACATTTTTTTAATTCATTAAAATGTAAACTGCCTTATTCGGTTATTATATATTTCATCTTTCAGAAAGCTACTTTGTGTAGGAAGAAAACTGTCATGTACCCTATAAAGTTATACAGAGTTTATACAAATAACACATCACAAAATATCAAGACTCAATACCTCGTGCTTGTGCACAGCCTTATGGCGAGATGGGCACCCATGTGGACACTGGAGTCCCGGCTTTGAATATTATCTCTGTCACATGCTAGCTATGGGACCTTGGAATGTAGACTTAACCTTTTGAGTGCCACTTGCCTCATCTATGAAACCTCTCCTAGGGTATTGGGGTGTGTGAGGTTGTCAACTGAAAAAAAAAAAATCACAACGTGAGAGCTGTGAATTAAATTTTATTGGGGGCAAAATGAGGGCTATAGCCCAGGAGACAGCACTGCAGATAGCTCTGAGAAACTGCTCCAGAGAGGTAGGGGGAAGGTCAGTATAGATGTGATTCTGGTGAAGGGAGAGTCCATGCGATCAGGCACATATTTTTTGCAGAAGGATTCTGTTAGTCTTGAGGAGCAGATGTCACCATGAAGGATTTTAGTGCTTTTCTAGATACGAGGAGATGCAAGAATTGGGCTCATAAAATCTTCTCCTGAAAGTATCTAACTCTCTGAAGACCTGTCCTGTCAGTTCTCCCCAGAGCACAGAGTGCCTCGTTCCCGATCTCCACCCTGAACTCCTTTCAGGGGGTGTTGAAGGTCAGCAGCTGCTGCGGCTCATGATCTCATCCTTATAGAGGTACATGGCAAGCGCCTATTAGTAGTTGGCAAGGTGAAATGCCCTGGTGTGTAGTGAGCACTCAACTCTGGTCCCTCTGTGATTTCCCCCTTGGCATGGTGTTCTTAGAGCACTTCCGGTTGCATCAGTCCATCACTCTTCACAGCGGCCCTATGAAGTAAAGTAGCAGGGGGCAGGCATGGGGGTGGACGAAGAGCTGAGGCCCTGGTTAAGTGACCCGGCCAAGGACTCACAGCTAGGAAGTGGCAGCACCAGGACTAGATAGACCCCAAGCCTTCCCATCCCTCATTCCTATGAGGGGGGTGTGTTTCGGTCTAAATGCTATACACGAAGTATAATTTTTAAAGCAAACTTTTATTTTCCATCTCTTTTTAACTAGAAAATTGCATTCTTATGGAGGCCAAGACAAACAGCTACTTTCAGGCATTTAAACTACAAAATTAACTTTTCAATAGAACTAATAAGTGGTTAGGAAAATTACAGTACTTCAGTGTGCCTAAATAATGCTTTATTAAAAGTGTAGATACACAATCTTTTCTTTTTTTCAGTCTGAATTCGAAATACACAGTCAAATAGTATAGGTTTAAATTATAGAAAGCAATAGTTTGTTACTTCGAGCTTACGCTTAAAAAATATCTAATGGTCTCTCTCCCATTTTCTTTTTACTGGATATATGCCTACAGTTTGTTCAGATGAAATAGTTT